AAGAGGAAAGGGGAAAGAGGACAGCCCTGTCGAAGACGAACATTGATAAGTGAAAGAACATTTCTAACGACAGCGTGTCCTGCTAAAAAGTACTAGTGTAAGGGAAGAAGGCCCTCGGTGCGAAGTTGTTTATTAGAAAACGCCAACTGACCAGTTACAGACTATTGGACAGGGAAGCAAAACTCTTATATGCATCTTAGTTACAAAAACTAAGCATCCATCTTCTCTTGAGCGCGTCTTCCTGAACCTTCCTGGATATATATTGACTGTTTCTCCAGTCCAAGCAAATGCTACAAAGCGAGTCCACAATTCCTCAAGGAGATCCCCCTTTTCAAGCTAATTTACAAGAAGAAAACATACTACTCACATGCCCCCCATCAGTAGTATCAACGTTGCACTAGTAATTGAAAGATAACTGGAGAGGACAAATTGTGGGAAATGCGTCATCAGCAGATCACTTGGTCACGCATGTCCCATGAACCACTGCACGGAAGAGCTCAAGCCGATGGACATGGGGAAACCGAGGCAGTTATGGACTACAGATTGACTGAGTGACCGAATGAATGGCTGACTGACTACCTGACTCATTTTTTGTCTATTCCTTGAATTATTTAACTGACATTTGGTGCCTTTACTAGAGGGATGGAGAGAATTACTCGAGGGACCGGAGCAGTCAACATTAGATAAACAAAACTCTACAAAATTTTCATCTGTTTGACTTCACCACACTAAGCACAACCGAATGAATTCGTAATCGACAAAATCCCAAAACGACGAAGATCACCGGAGTGCCTGATTTGAGAAAAAAAGAGACCACAGCGGAAACATTGCAGTACTCACCCTTTCTCGTGACTAGATCCACTTCCACTGTTGGATATCCTCGACTGTCCAGGATCTGCCGGCCAGTAATTTTAAGGATCGACATGGTTTAGTACGCAAACTGGAGTGGTTTTCCGACTCACAGGACTGACCCTCAGCTGATGATCGATACGTTCAAATGAAGTTGGACATCAATCGATAACCACAAAATCTGCAGAGGGATCCTATATGCGCGCTCAGCTGTGGACTCACGCGTAGCCTAAAATCTTGGGACGAGGGGATACGAAGTGACCCTCAAACTGAAGTTCATCTGGCCGCGGCTAGCTTAAGTTAAACGTGGTTACGTTCACAGTGTTTGCGACAACCGGCTCCAAACTTGTCGTTGTCACATCCATATTTCTATGGTAGTCCACATTTCCAAAAATTAAAATAAAACGAGCGAATTGAAACGAAAACTTTAATTATCAAAATACACTCATTTGCAACCGAATTTGATTTTGCGATGGATTCACCTGGAACTCAGCTGAATCTCTCGTTTATGATGTTTCTAAACAACGGAATGTACTGCACCAAACCGCCTCATGTTTTAGTTGGTGCGATATTCAAGATATATCACGATACATGTGTAGACGTAATACACTACTCGAAAGGTTGCTGA